CCCTGAAAAGTCCCTATGGGAAGTGGTCAATTAGCCTATGTATGTATATATGTAGGTACTAAAACAGTAATTCACCTTAGTGTCAGTAAAAGTAGTGGATATTAACCTCACCGCATTGTGACTTAGTAAATATCCACCATTACGCACCTCCACTTTGGTGAATGATTGCTAATTACTAGTAATTATTAATTTTACAGAACTGATATGGGAGATAAAAAGATCAAATACAAAAAAACTCAGTCAATAACTCACCAATGGTATTTCCAAGCCAGCGAAGTCGAGTTTCTCATCTTTGCTGTCTGGCCAATATCTTTAACATTTTAGCTGAGATCATAAGAAAATTTTTATTCTAGAAACTGAAAATACCTTCCCTTCCGTATTAACACGTTTTTCCTTGAACAGCGTAAATAAAAGCATTCAGCGTTCTTTAGACAAGTTTAAGAAAGCTACTAGGACTTTTTTATTTGCAAAAGCTTTTTAATTCTCTGTGTGTTATTTTAATATTTTTACATCTTCTTAGTGAACATTTTTCTTTTTTTTTAGTTTTTGGTACCTATGTACCGTTGAATTTTAACATTTAATCGTAATGCGCAATTGAATATTCTTATATTGATAATTGCACAATATAAGTCAATAAATTACTACTATTATTATAATTTGGTACAGACAGGTGTGTCTTTTGATCATTACTTTCTACTTTATATTCTTTCTCTTTTCTTTTCTTTGTCCTTTTTTTTTGTCTCCTCTTTTTTTTCCTTCGGTGTGTGTGTGTGTGTGTGGGTGGGTGGGTGCGTGGGGGTGAGAAGGGAAGGGAGAAGAGGTCAATTCACTTGCTTAAACTGATTTTCTATGGTAAAATATTGTACAATGTCATGGTAAGTTCATCTGAGTTCCTCTAGTTCAGTTCATGATATCAGTCAAATTTCAAGATTCACCTTTCCCATTTCAATTTCTCTGCATACCATTATCACAATGCAAAAAAGTCAAACTTTAGCTGACAGAAAGTGTCAGTTATAAGGTGTAGACAATTTGAAATTCTTAGTTTTTCAGGCCTTGGTTGTTCGAAAGATGGATAATGCTATTCACTGGATAAACCTTTTAGAGAACTCACCCAGGCTCCTATACAGCTGACTAACAATTTTCAGTATGATTCACTGGCATGCTGTCATGTTCAGTGCCCGAATGGGACTCGTTATGGTTGTCTCTGAAGTAAGCAACCTAACATGGTATAGTTATAAACAAAATAAAATGAGCCTCAGTTTTTTTAGTTAAGCTTTGAACAACTTGCAGATTCATACTAACACTATTTAACATGCAGATTATTTGCACTTCATTTCTAAACGATAAAAATTTCAAGCTGGTGATCTACCTAACAAGTAGCCATAGAGCCTTGAGAAAATAGAATATTACTGAAGAAATAGTCCAGTGCCTGCAGTTCAATTTTATTACCTGACATTTGTGAGATGCCATCACTCTCCAGATATCATCAACTGTTCTCGGCGAAGGACCTTGCAGAGCCAAGCAGGCAATCTTTCCATCTTGTACCTGAAGAAACATCATTTTATATTTAATATTCAGAACTATAGTTAT